TTTGCACACACACACCTTCATTTTTCCACTCCAGAAAATAATTGCAAGAGTAGCAACAGAGAATGAGTTCCCTCTTCAGGCAACAGCTGAAGAGCTTCAGCAATGTGAACATTTCTACAATGCTCATACAATCTATCTAAACTGTGACTTGGAGGGGAAGCAAATTCAGTTTTCACTCCTATTCAGTCTTTGACCTCTGTGCTAAATAAACAGATGGAGCGATGGTTATCAGCACCAGCTGTAACTGTGTTAGCAGCATGGACTCCTGTCCAGTAGGAATGGAGACTCTGGCTATCAATACTTTTCAAAAAGGCTGCAAGCAGCACACAAAATGCAGTAAGCCTTTGTTATTTCCAACCAAAGCTGGTTTCAAACCAGCGAACTACTGTCGGAATTTTCCACCCCTTTTATCCATTCTGTGAAGCACACTCTCACAGCAGATGGGGTGTTTGGGAAATCCGGGAAGTTCCTGGATCCAGTAGTACCACAAGAGGTACCCCAGGGTGGGGGTTGGGGGAAGTAAACTGCATACAGCAATGAAATAAACAATACTGTGATTAACAATATCCTGACTATTCTCTATTCTGTTATTCAGTTCTAGCGCAATGGGTGTTAGAGGAAAACTTCTGGAAACTCACACCCCAAATTATGAAAAAAAATCCCCTACCAGCACCTGCTATACAGAAAAAATAATTACCCATTCAGTACTGGGACTCAATTTCCTCACCTACAAAGCTAATTGTTTCCCTTATGAGAGTAGCGCTGGGCATCTCAGAAACGTGCAAAGCCAAGGAATGCACAAATCGGAGAAGTGTGTACACAAGACTTTGTGGATATGTCTGTATGCAGAGTAAGCGTGATGCTGAGAATCTCAGGCCACTCCAGTCTGCACTTGCTCGCCTTGACAGCTCCATTAAGTCCGTGGCCTTATACTGTGATAAGTCTGAGGCTTGAAAACTCAAAGGATCTGCGAAAAATAACTACGAAAAGCATCAAGGAATGCAAAAAAGAACTTCCAAAATCGACAAATTCTCAGCTACTGTAAATCAGCATAGGCCAACTGGAGGCAGCTACACCAGCGGAGATTTTCATTTAGAAGAACGCTGTGCTGTAGGCTGAAAAGTTCACTTAATTTGCAGCAGAGCTTAGAATGATTAAAACCCAAGTGATCTTGCACTAGTACAGGACCTGAAAGCTTTGCCTGAAAAATGGAATACTTAATAGTTATATAGCACATTTGCTACAGAGAATTACTTCACCTTAAATAGTCTGTACACATATGGTAGGGAAAAAAAAATGTATATGGCAGACCATTAAAAAAGCTAATTAATATCAATGGCAAGCCATCTTAAAAGGAGCTTTAATAACCAGTGCCTTTACCAACAACCAAACACACAAACAAATTATCGAAGCATCCACATTGATTAGCTTTAACTGCAATACGCGTTCTGATCTTTGGGCATAAATTTTCAAACTAATTCAGAGGGTGCAATAATACATAAATATTTTCCACTAGCTTAATATGAATTTTAAAGTTGGGGGGGGTTGTTTGCTGCTTTTTGGTCTTGTTTTTTTTCAGATTGATAAGTATTCTAGATAAGATATCCGCAAGGGCTTATTCTTCTCCATATTGAAAGAAATCCTAACTCTGCCTTTGGCCTTAAATCAATAGTGATGTGAACTCAATTACTCAGTAATGCACTGCTGTATACCACCTTGCTTAATTATAACAACACAGTGCACTATTAATACCTAAATACAATCTCATTTGAATGGTGGTCTTTAGAAAAAAAAAAGGAAATGAAGAACTATGGGCAGTATGTTTAATGTTAAAATATGGGGAGCATTTCATCAGTTCTGACACCGCTGAACTAAATAAAGCCCTTGTTCATTTGCCTGTTACCAGATCATGAAATTAATTGTTTTAAAAACCTGGAAGATTCATAAAACTTCCAATCAGTGACAAATGTAAACAAGCAAAAAACTGACTGGGTTTTCTTTCACATAGTGGTATCATAGGCATTACAATTGAGAAAACATTTTAAAATGTGTATTAAAAATAGGAATATTTTCACAATGGAGCTACATTTTTATAAACAGCAACAACACATCTTTTAATTAAGAGGCAGCGCAAACTGGCCTATCTCCATTGATTTCAGTGGAACTAGGCTGTTCCACAACAGCTTCAGAATAAACAGAGCTTTAAACTAGGCTCCAACACACTCCACCAAAAATAAAAACTATAAAGGAACACTTCCCATGCTTTTCTCTCCAAAAGTGAGATGCAGAGCTTTAAACTATGCTCCAACACACTCCACCAAAAATAAAGAAAACTATAAAGGAACACTCCCCATGCTTTTCTCTCCAAAAGTGAGATGTACTGTTACACATGAGATGTTTTTAAGAGATGCAGATTAAGAACATTCTGGTACACAGTAAAAAATAAATTAATACAATAACCAACGTTTATAAATCCAACAGTCTAGACAGACAGACCATCATCTCGATGTCTAAAACATCAAAAATCATAGGATTTAATTCTCACTCCGTATGTTCTTCCCTCCTCCAGTTTTAGCCTAATCCTTAATTTAACTCATTCAAACATCCCTGCCAGAGAAAGTCAAAACAATAACGTCAAATTAAAGAAAATGCAGAAGGTGTTAAGCATATCAATACACTGCCAGTCTAGTCTACATGGCAGGGCATTAGGAGCTAAGCTGAATACCAACCACATCACCCAGACAATGTTCAATTACAAATAACAACTTTCCTCCCTTAGTTATTTTATTCACCTGCAACAGTACATTTTGTTTTTCTTATAAAAGGTCTTAAGGTTTCACTTTACACGTATGCCAGGGTCTGACATTTAAAAGAAAAGACACACACAAAATCCACGTCAGCCGACTGTTGATCTGTCACAACTGCCAGCATCAAGTACACAGCATTTAATTTCATGGTGAAAAGACATCACAGGTTTTCCCCCCATACACTCTCTTGGTTTATACATCTGTGCTTCCCAGTATGGCTAAATTGGCCTTTCGTGAATAACAGAAATATAAAGCAGGTATTAACTTACCTTGCGCCCATCACTTGCATGGCAGTTCACATTTAAAGGAGTCAATAAAGCCATCAGTTTTTCTTCATTACCACTCCTGTAAATGGAGAGGAGAGGATTATGGAAAAGGGGGAAAAAGACAGAGCTCTTCGCAAAACATTTGCTAAGGAGCTGGATATCAAAGTATAGTATATTGAAATTTGTACACTGCCAGGGAGAATGTCAGATGGCTAAAGGATCTTCAAAACCAAGGATAAATACAGAAAAAAAAATATTAAATTTGCAGTTGTGTATTACAAAAGATCATGCAAAACCACCTCCTAATTTTTTTTTTTAACCTCATCCTATATTTCCTTTATGTAATTTTACAGATCCTCTGAAAGCCATTTGCCAAATTAAATGTTCTAAATTAAACATATTTTCATAGCATATAGCCCATAACATTTGAAACAACTGCATACCAATATCCAGAAATTTTTTTAGAAGGGTTAACAGCCTACATAAAACAGTCTTGTGCTGTCAGAAGGAACGATGAAAACATCTTTGGAATATATGACTGAACTTTACACCTTTTGTATAGGCTTCCTTATGTTCTGTTCTGATAAAGCCTATTTTCAAAATATATCCTAAGGTAGCAGTAAAAACCAAAAGGAAAGAAAAATTTCAATATTTAATTTGCTCGTAAAAAGAACAGTCACAAAATGATAAAGAGGATTTAAGCAGATTAAAGCAAAAACTCAATATTAACCTTATAACCACCATAGTGGGGGATTTCAATTACATAAACAAGCTTTCCCATTTGTACCAGACTGTAAAGTCCAAAGAGATTTATGCTAATGAAGTGGTTCGTTTGCATCATTTCACGGAAAGGCAATGGCAAAACATTACTGTTTTAAAAATCCCTTTTCCTCTCCTGCTTCCACCCCCAAAATATGCTTTATATTCTAAGCAGCACTCACCTAGCAGCTTCCAGGAGTTCGTCCTTCTTGTATTCACCTAAATGATTGCAAAATATCATGCTGTTAGCATTTGGCAGAAGACAGATTAAGAAATGCAGTAGGAAGCAAATACAGAATTAAAACAGAGAAGAGGAGAAAAAAGCCCACACCCCGCTGGGTGATGGAGCTGTGACGTTAGCCAGCTTGTGGAGGCAGCATCACCAGTACCTTGGAGACGGGCAGCAAATTGACGCATCTTCTTGTCCAATCCTCAGATGGAAAGGCTTTCTTCGGACGACCAATGACTGCGAAATCTTGTGTCCAGAAACACAGTCCCGCTGATAACAGCATGTCAGCTGAAGACAATGTCCCCACCCCCTGCCCTATTCAGTATGTCACATTATACTTGGGAAGCATAATAAATTCTGAGACAAAAGCGAGGCAGTGCGGCTTTTTAAAAGGTACAAATTACCAAAGCCCTCACCTGCCTATTTGAATGGTAATATTAGACTTCACCAAGTTCTTCAGAAGAGCAGCGATTATTTAAAGAATTCCAAATATTATATCATCAGCCACTTCCCAAGAAAATAGGCATTTGAAATAAAAAGCACAGACAAAAGAGCATGAACTCTCCAAGAGATTTTGCTAAGAGACTCTGAGGTTAGAGATAACCACGAGTAATGTTAAAGCAACATTTACATTGGAAATTCTGAGTTACAACAGATAACTCAGGAGGGTTGTTGCATCACAGGATTAAAATTGCACATGAATATCTTAAAAAGAGCATGGAACAAGATGACCTGCGGAAGTAAGACAGTATTCTACAAGTCTGAATCGCAATGATATTGTGCAATACAACTTTAAGGGAATTTCAATTCAGAAATTAGAAAAATAGCTTTTAAGCAGCTTCATAAAGTCACAGAGCGGAGGGTATCTTAAGAGCCAAAAGATGCAGGGCTCGAAAAACATACCATATACCACCTGCCAGAGAATTAAAGCCTCTAACCACAACACTGTAAGAAAAACAGGAAGATGAAGCTTTCCTGCAAGAAAAGAACCACCTTTGTGCTGCCTCCTATGTGCATTTGTAATGAGCCTCCAGTCAAACTCATTACAGGTGAGGAAAGCTGTCAGCCCATGGGAAATGCTAGATCGGACTGCAGGTAAACTGGAACCCTCCTCTGGAAACAATATCCCTCAAGAAAGAATTTCTCTAGGCTGCGGGAGGAGGGTTAGGGTCCTCTTCCATCAGAAACAGCTTGGTACTCCCCCCATCACAGCTCCTCTGATGATCAGCAGAGGGGGACAAGAACCACGACAAAACCAGCCCTCTCCAGGGCCTTATGGAGCCCTGTGTAGTTCAGCATCCTGCCTTCACCCAGGGGTGAGGAGGAATAGGGTGAGGACACACAGCCGCGTACCTCCCACCCCATCCTCCTGGCTGCAGCTGAGGGGTTCACAAAGGCATTAAGTATCTGCATCTTGTAATACCGGTGAATTTTCAATGCACAAGCATGTTTAATTGCTTTCTGAAACATATTCAGCTTTGGGAATTCACAACAACCTGCAGCAAGGAGTTCCACCGCGCAACTGCCTCTCGCATGACAGGTCTCTCAGCTGAGCAGTTCTGTGCTGCTGGCGATGCAGCAGACGAGCTCAACGCAAAGGCCGTGAACTGAAATTGGCACTTCAACTAAAGGCCACGAAGGCTAACTTAGCTTTTGGAAGAATTTGTCTGCCTGTCTGTCTTAACAAAAGCTTGATTATGAAACAAGTAAAATGACACAAAAATATGATTGCCTTTGTCTTGCCACCACTCTCCAACTCCATCAGAGGGGTTCCTGCCCACCACAGGGAATTGTCTTTTCAAGCCATGGTGCCTGTTCCTCTCCTTTTTCTTTTTTTTTTTTTTTTTTAATGAAGATAAAATACCAGGCACAGTTGTGAGTGTTTCAAATCAATGGTGAGTGAAAAGCTCTGGACAGCATGTGAGGAGGAAAAAAAGACACTTTATTACTACTGCATTACTTGCGCAACAATCTCAAACAGCTGGATTTCCTGCAGGAGAGTTATTGGCCTGTATTATATCAACACTTTAGGGACCTAATCAGATTAAAAGACCTGTTTGCACATTCTGGTTTGGCACTGCATCTAGCAGTCCTAACTAGGCTTTTGAATACTATTAGGTTAGACAAGTGTAATAGCATTTTTCCTTCATGCTCAGTAAGTTGATACTTTAACACACAAAAGCCCTTTCCTCAAACACCTTGATTAGGAAAAGCAGAACTGGAAGGCTGTGGCTCTTGATTTAGAAATGTCCCACTTAAGTAAATCAGTTACTTTTACTAAGTGGTACTTTTTAAAAAAGGTATTTACAGATACCGTTGAAATTCATACAAGCAATTCTTGAAATTCACCACAGCTCTCCCGCACTGTGATACGGGTTAGGAAAATATTATCTTGTAATTAGCTAACTTTATTATTCTCAACAAGCAGTCACGTTTTGCAAAGCAGCACCTAAAATTACACAGGTGCTTACAGCACACCATCAGGGTTGCCAAAAAAGGCCAAGTGTGCTCCACAGGGTCTGGTCTCCTGGCTAGGAACGGGACGACGGGGAAGCCCTCGACCGCCCGAGCCAAGAGCTGGTGGGATGCCACTGAGCAGAGCGAGGGCTGGCTGACGGCATGTGGGACAAGTGGGTGGCACTGCCCGCAGGACCGGCTGCTGCTGGCGCAGGCTGCGTTCCCACCAGAGGGCTCTGCCAACACAGCTAAAGCCGCTTGGCTACGAAGCATATCAAAGGCCATCCTGCAGCATTTGGCCACAGCTACCTAATAAAATATTCATTTGCAAAGCATTTGAAAACAAACTGTGCGTGCCTGTGGCAGAGACTGATTTCAAGTTCTGAGCTGAAGCACAGCAATACAGACCATCAACCTCACGTAATACTTCTGTTCAAAGAATGTCTGTTTCAAAGAACTGTTTGACTTGAACCAAACTAATAACACCACTTAGAGAGCTCCTTTGAGCAGGTCAGGATTTATAGTTTTGCAAAAGGGCACCTGCAGAACAAAGCGCAGGTAACAGCCTGAATTACTCTTCCAAATCTCTCAGCAGTTGCTAGCTTTGAGGAAAACATCCTTCCAATCAGTGTCAATACAGAGGATTTTTGGCAGCGATGTTTTGGATAGCACAAAGCTTGTCTGCCAGAGGAGTGAAAATTAATGTCATTAAACCATGCCACAGAAGACCAAAACTGAAATACAAGGCTGTAAACAATATTCATCTATTTGCTATCCATCCCTTCCACCATATCTCAGTTCAATCTGTCCTTTCTGTGTTTGATGACAACCCCAAACAATACACAGCCACGCCACGAGACACATCTGGCCACACTGTAGGTGAGAACTTGCCAGGCGTGCCCCCCTTCTCCGTACAAGAGAGCCCAGAGCGACAGCCCCGAAAGGGTGCCACTTTTTGCCCTGGCAGCCCACAAAGAGAGCACTGGACTTGCTCACCTCGGCATGCTGGGTAGCCCAGAGACAGTCGGCCTAGGAATTTCTGAAGGCAAGGACAGAAAGGGTGTGAACTGGGGAGCAGAGAGCTCTACACCAAAGCAGTGTCCCTGTTCCTATCTTGTCAGACAAAAGCTGGTAGGTAAGAAGAAACTGCTCAGTGTCTGGTGTTCACTGCACCAGACCAAGTTCTTTGCTTACAGCTTGCTCAGCATCCTTTACACCATCAAGTTCTCTACTTGCTCTCAGCTCCACATCACACCACTGCTGCTCCATTTATGCTGGAACTAGGAGGTTACCACTGGTAACCACAGATAATCGATGTTTCAAAACACAGCTACCACCAGGCAGCTAACTAGCCCTATCTCTGTCCCCTCCTAGGAGAAAACCAGTTATCTCCAAGACCTCTGATCGGCTGCTGTGAACTACAGTGACCAAAGCTCCACATGCTACGCAGCCACTGCTGTACCAGGCCCTAGCTGCATTTTGCAGGAGCTAATTAGCAGCATATGCTTATTAACTATCAGACATCAGTGGCTGCTTGCATCCGGCGGTTAAGTAGATCAGTAGCTGGAAGCTCAATTGAGATCTCAGTGGAGGACAGGAGACCTTGCCTTCCACCGAGACATCACGCTGATCAGCAGCCACTTTGAATCCAACCGCAGCAGATGAAAGTAATCGAAAGAGTGGAGCTGGAGACACACACAGACATGCAGGAACGTTGTATTTGGGAGAAAGAAAGACAGGCGTGCACCAACAGTGACAGGCTGAAATCTTTATGGGCTCCTAATGTATTTCTTTCATTTGTGCTTTCCAGCTTAATGATAAAAGCTGCAGCCAGAAAAGCACAACCAGCCTCCTGCAGCCAGACTCCATGAGCCCTCCCCTACCATCAACCTGTTCCTCCTGCTTCCCATCTTCATGGTGCCAGCTTCCTATTTTTGTAGTCTCTGGTGCCACGTGATTATGCGGTGTTACACTGGGTCACACTGAAAATCTAGGTGCAGCATAAATCAATTCCATTATTAAAGAGTTACAAGGAATAATCAGTCAGTCCACTTCTAGATTGAATTCACTAGCAACCTTTAGATTTTAAGCCAGTTAGGTAAGCCTGTGAAACACAACCATCATATACGCATGTGTTTGAGACAAAAGAAAAAAATCCCAAATTTTGCAAAAAACTAACATAATGAATCAGTCCTACAATGTGCTTTACAGCCAAATAACCCTGTTTCACTCTCTCCCAAAAGTATTAACATTTCATCTGACTACTGCAAGCTGAAAAACCTATCTGAAGGCACAGCATAAACCAACAGTGCTTTTTCAATGCATCTACACTATGAAATAAGGTGAATTGCTCGCGCTCTCTCTCTCTCTCCACGTCAACTAATACAGAAACAGTAAGAGCCAAAATGTCAACCTGGACAAAGCAGTTTTTGCATTATCATACTAACATGTCAGTTTTCCACAGTGAGGACAATTCCCTAAAAATTAATGGCACACAGATTATATCAAGCCATTGTTAGCCAACATAACAACA